TTCATTAAAGGTCTCAAAATGCCATTCTGCTCACCTGCAAAACGGGGGCTAACAGGACTGTGGTGAAGATTAGCTGAGACACATGCTGATAGTCAACAGCATATGTTTACCATATGTCTGATACATAAGTGTACAGGTCAACATGTTAGTTAAGACAGTGACCACTGCCCTGATATTTCTCGACTTCTAGTTTCTTCAAAATGTTCACAACACCTTCCTCCACCCGTCTCTCTGTTTCCTTCTCTCTCCCTCCCTTAGACCTTTTACTTCTCTCGCCCTTCCCACACACCTTGCATCTCTGGGTTTCAAGCCAAAAAGCAGAATATGTGCCCTCCAGAACGATGAACGTCAAGGAAGGTTAACTCCCTGCAATGAATGGGAGCGCAGGAAGGAATACAGAGTACCTGGTCACATGGAGGTCATTGCTATGAACGTGGTCCAGTTAGCGCTTGAGTCGATTTGTGTTTTCAAAGACCTGTTTGGCCAACAATCAAAACAACATTGTGTCTGCCATTAAAATATCTGAAGACACCAAATTTTATAGCGCTCTATTATTTTAAAATGATAAATTAAGTGCTTGGTTTGCTAACTGGAAGGTCAGTGGTTTGAACCTTCCAGAGCTTCCCCTACATAAAAAAGACGTGGCAGTGTGCCTCTCCAAGGTGGATCAACATGAGTCAGGATTCACCTGGGCGGCAATGGCAGAAATGATCTGTCCGATGCACCATGAATCCACCTGAGTTTGCTTATGGGTGAAAGACAAGCTATTTTCCAAAAATGATGTTATTGTTCTGATATGCCCGACAGTCGATTCTGACTCACAGTCTTCAAACTGCCCTCGAGCGGTTCCTGGACTGAAATCTTTACAAAAACTGATCTCAAAGCTTTTCACTGGTGGGTTTGAACCGCTGACTTCCTGCTTAACTATTACATCACCAAGGCTCCTTTTCCCAATGATAACCAGGCCTCCATAATGTGGCAGTCCAGAGAAGCAGGCTTTGTTACCGGCTAACCTTGGGGGCACCCAGACTGAAGCTCCAGAGGGTTGATCTGGAGCAGTGTGTCTTCAGGCGAGACTGTGTGCTTCCGAGCAAACCACTCCGCCCGGCTCTCACCACCCTCTCTCCTGCTCCTATGCTGTGTGCCCACAGAACCTGCGACCTATCGATGCATCATACGCTCTGGGTGTCATCTCATCCGAAAATGACTTCATCACACATCTGCCTCCTCTGCCCTGTGGATTTTTCGGCCGTGTGGATTCCTTTCATTCAGTGATGTGCTTGTGCCCAGCACCAACCTCAGGCCCAGGCGCACATTAGGTGCCCAACGAATGAGGAGGCTGCTCCTTCAGCCGCACGGGTCCTCTCCACCTCTTCCAGCCCGATACGAGCCTACTGCAAGCTCAAATGGCACCTTTCCCTGAAACAGCGATCAGTGGAGCCATCCACGCGGTCATTTTTGCTGGGTGTCACCAGCGGCACTCACATAGGGCCTCTGCCTCTAAGCCGTAAACATGTGTCCTGTTCACGCTGCTGTCCTGCCACCCGAAGGACTTAGCATGGAGCTCTGTGTGGCGCACCCTCCAACGCTCTTCTCAGGGTGACGGAATAAGGCACCAAAGGGGATAAACCCTCCTGAAAACGATGCCTTTTAAAGACACCACTGGAGGATGTGCCGTGCTCGCTGGTGAAAACCCTCACTCTGACTTAGCTAGACGTCAGATGCAAATAAGCAACTGCCAGACTCCTGGAGTCCCCCTGCAGACACTATTTACTGAGTGTCTGTCCATCTAGACAGTGTTGGCAAACACTGAAGGCCCAGCCCCCAATCCTGCCCCTGTGGCTTTCCAAGACTGAACTCTAGGGGGGAGAAAGTAGAGTAGAAAGCCTCACCTGGTGCTTTCAAACTGGCTAACAGGCCAACGCAAACACCTCTCATGTCACCAAGGCTCCAGAAACTCTAACATACAGATGAGGACTTTAAGGGACAAAGTCTGAGCTACACCTTCCCAACAGGATCGCTGAAGACAAATGGGTGCATAAGCAAATGTGAAGAAAGCTGATGGTGCCCAGCTATCAAAAGATACAGTGTCTGGAATCTTAAAGGCTTGAATGTAAACAAGCAGCCATCTCGCTGAGAAGCAACAAAGCCCACAAGGAAGAAGCACACCAGCCTGTGTGATCACGAGGTGTCAATAGAATCAGGTATCAGGCATCAAATAACAAAAAAAATCATATCATCGTGAATGAGGGGAAGTATGGAGTGGAGACCCAAAGCCCATCTGTAGGCAACTGGACATCCCCTTACGGAAGGGTAGCGGGGAAGAGCAGTCAGGGTGTAGTATAGCACTGATGAAACATACAACTTTCCTCTAGTTCTTTAATGTTTCCTCCCCTCCCCCTCACTATCATGATCCCAATTCTACCTTACAAATCCGGCTAGACCAGAGGATGTACAGTGGTACAGACAGGAACTGGAAACACAGGGAATCCAGGACAGGTAAACCCTCAAGACCAATAATCAGAGTAGCGACACCAGGAGGGGAAGCAGAAGGTGGGGGAACGGATCACAATGATCTTCATATATCCCCCTCCCTGGAGGATGGACAACAGGAAAGTGGGTAAAGGGAGATGTTGGACAGTGTGAGACATGAAAAAAAAAATTTATAAATTATCAAGAGTTTGTGAGGGAGGAAGGGAGGGGGGCAAAAATGAGACGCTGATACCAAGGGCTCAAGTAGAAAGAAAATATTTTGAGAATGATGATGTCAACAAATGTACAAATGTGCTTGACACAATGGATGTATCTATGAATTGTGATAAGAGTTGTACGAGCCTCCAATAAAATGATTTTTTTTAAAGTCTGAGCTAATGGGTACCACAACATGGACAGAGATAGGGAGCATGGCAATGCGATATGAAGGTATGTAACCATTATCAAAGCTGCTCATGAAAAGGTATCCAACAGGGACATGCTCTGTGGTGGACACTTTACCACAAAGAAGAAGAAAGAAAATACTGGAGATACATGTGCTAAAAACATCCATCGTGATTGTTGCCAATTGGTGGGATGACAGGCATGGCCTGTTTCATTTGTCTTACTTTCTGTATTTAGGTTTATTATTGGCAAGGAAGGTACTTGGAGACACTTATTAAATAACCTGACGGATGGTACCGTTTATTCTACATTCCCCGCATAGCCACAGAGAACCAATGGATTCAGGTCCCAGGCAGGGCACTGCTGAGGAAGCCGGGGAGCAGTCCCTGGGAGCATCCAGCCACCCTCATAGACACAAGGGGTCTTGGGTCTGCGTCACCAATGACGACATCCCTGCTGGTCTGCACAAGGTTTTCCTTGATCCCTCCCCACTTTCTGGCTCATCACAGAACTTGAATGCACGCTCCCTGCCATCCTGCAGTCCAGCTTGGCCTGTGATGCATAAAATGGCCATTGGCAAAATTCTAACAAACAAGACGACTCCAAGGGTTTGAAACCTGCTGCTGGAGCCTGCGAGACACGCACAACTACCTCTGAGAACTCACTGCAGGATCTGAAAGGACCCGCCGGGGGTCGCTGAGGGACTCCGGCAGTGCCCTGTCTGACGGGGGAGCCAGCCACGCCAAGGGGAGGAACAACAGGTTTTAAAACCCACAGCTTGTCTTTGCTCCCCCAGCTGTCCCGCCAATTCTGAGGGTGTTTCCAACCCCCGGCTCCTGGCCAGGCTCAGGCCAACACCAGGCAGCAGGCTGGGAAAGAAGGGGCAGCACAGCCAGAGGCCTGGACAGTTCACCTTGCTCAGCTTCTGCTGCTTCTGCTCACGCAGAAGTGAGCGTCCAACATTTCTAGAACTCCTGAGCACTGCAGCCTCCTTTGGAGAAAATCGAATGATAGTGAACAGCACGAGCACCCGTTGCCACGCAGCCCATTCCAACACGTGTGTCAGAGTGGGACTCTTCTCTGTGGAGTTTTCAGTGGCTGGTTTTTTGGAAGTAGCTTTCTTACGAGGCGTCTCTCGCTGAATTTGAACTGAAAATCTTCTCGTGCAACTGTTTACGACATCCAGGGACTTCATAACCCCAACCTCAAAACCACGCCCTCCAGCGTCGAGTGCATTCTGAGTGAGAGAAGACCCGCTCCCTGGGGTTGCAGGGGCTCTTAATCTTTACAGCAACAGAGAGCTTCATCTTTCTCCCAGAGCGCGCCGGTGGATTCGACCACTGACCTTTCAGTTACCCTGTTTCCCCGGAAATAAGACAGTATCCTATATTAATTTTTGCTCCCAAAGATGCACTAGGTCTTATTTTCAGGGGATGTCTTATTTTTCCAGGAAAAAGAATACGGTATACATTTATTGTTTATTAAAAGAGACCTTATACTTCCTGTCTGCTCTGGCTGCACTGCAGCCAACAGTGAGCTGTGCAGTGGCACCCGCCACTAAGGTCCAGAGTCCAGTTACAGTAGCTTCAGGGGGCCTTATTTTGTGGGAGGTCTTATTTTCAGGGGGGTGCCTTATATTTCAGTGAGAGGCAAAATTGCAAATTGGTCTTATTTTCGGGGGATGTCTTACTTTTGGGGAAATAGGGTAGCAGGCACAACACGTAACCCACAGCGCCACAATAAACTCACTGCCAGTGGGTGCGTTCCAACGCAGAGCAAGGTGGAATCCGCCTGTGGTCCCTGGGACTGTAACTCTTTATGGGAGTAGAAAGCCCTCTCTTTCTCCCTGGGAGAAGCTGGTGGTTTGGAACTGTTGGCCTCACGGTTTGCAGCCCAACGTATAAGCCTCTGCACCACCCTCGCTCAGATCCAATCACAGGTGCCCTGGTCAAAGGAATGGAAGAGGCAGGGCTCTATTTCCTCTCCCCGCCTCCTCCCCAAGAGCAGAGGTCGCCTCGCACCCACTCTTCTGCAGGGCTGCGACAGCTTGACTGGCTGGACTAGACCCGCGCTCCCCCATCCATCCCCTGCCCGCACTGCTTCCCTCGAGGGCGCCCACTCACCGGTCGATAGCGATGACCCCGAGGGTGAGCATGCTGGCCGAGCTGATGAGCAGGTAGAGGAGGGCGGAGAAGTTGCACCAGACCACGCCGAAGATCCATTCCCTGCGGAGGGAGCTCGTCACCACGAAAGGCAGCACCAGCACGGACAGCAGGAAGTTACTCAGGGTCAGGCTGAAGACGAACTTGTTGCTCAGGGTGAGGAGATAGGACTTCTTGTACAAGGTGACCACGATGACCAGGTTGCCCAGGCAGACGAGGAGGGTGATGACAATAATGGCGATAAACTCGGTGACGAGGGCGCCCCCTTCGCCGCCCTCCACCGCAGTGAGGTCACTCAGCTCCTTCCTGTGGCCGAGGGAGGAGTTGAGGCTCATGGTCAGCGCGCCTCGCCGTGGGGTGGGCACGGCATGCTGAGCAACTGGCAAGAGAAGGCGAGAGCAGGAGAATCAGGTGAGACGCTCTTCGCTTTTCCCAGAGGACCCCGAGGCTGGCAGGGGGGGCATCCCCCAGGGCACCCGACGAGGGCTCTGTGGGGGAGTCACTGGATCTCCATTTACAAAGTGTTCCTTCCGTCTAAGTCATCTTACCCCTTTCCTCAGGCCGGGGCTTCAAGACCATGAACATGCCTACGGCGCACCTGGCATGCCAGTCCAAAAATGCCTCTGTTCGGCTCCCCCATTAGACAGCCTGGTTCCAGAGCCCAGAGGCACAGCCTTGGAAATTGCATCCTAAACCTGCACGTTGACAGGAGGCGGATGACTGAGCCGGGTGGTCTGTGGAGGACACTCTGCAGGCTGTGACTTCTCAGCCCTCGCTAGGCAGTGAGGTCCCTAAGCTGGCGGCGGTAGCAGCAGTGCTGTATTTGAGCTGCAAAACCACAGGCCCTTCCTGTGACCCTGCCTTCTATTGTAACGCCATCCCCAGGTGACTCAGAGATGCATGGAGGACAATCAGCTGGCCCTAGCAACTACTCTGAGTTCTCTGAGCAGGGTTCAATAGAGTGCAATTCAGACCGGGGCGTCTGTCTCTATTGCTCTCCTCCGGCATGATGAGGGAGGGCACGGGAGGGCACGGACCCAAGCCCTCATTAAAAACGAGTAGGTGGAGGCAGAGTTCAAGGGCTTGGCCAACAGCCAGCCTGGCCTATAAGGTGCAATCCCTGTTCACAGAAAAATGGCGCCAGAACTTGGCTAAAATTCTACTTTGGCAAAAACTCAAGGCTGACACATGTTAACATTAAATCCTACAGAGGAAGGTTTCTACACAACTTTTGGTCTACTTGAGTCAGCCACCAACTCCCACAGATCACTCTCCCTACCTGCTCTGGTTTCCCACGAACGAACAGAAGATCACACAAAGAGACTGCTTCCCAGGAGCCAACAAGTACCCTGGTACCCACCCAGCCTACCCACCACAGCAGAGCCTTCCCTGCACCGCGCTTAGTGACCTGGCACCTCCATCCAAACACCTGTGGTCACAGGGAGGATGCCGGTTAAGAAGGCAACCCTTCCCTTCCTTCACTATCAGCCCTGTTTGCCATCTGAATGTTTCTCGTCTAGTGAGCTCAACCTCGGTCCCGACGCCCAGCCACCCAAGGCCTGCCTTCTCAAGGCGCGCCAAGTAATCCTAACCCCTATGCCACTGGGCAGCCTCCTAATACTTCAGAAAGCTCCCTGCAGATGGTATCTCCCCAGGTCCGAGTTATCAGGGAGCCCTGGTGGGGCTGTGGGTCATGCACTGGGCTGCAAACCACAAGGTCAGCGGTTTGAACCCACCAGTCGTTCCTCAGGAGAAAGATGAGGCTTTCTGCTCTCACAGAAATTCACAGCCTTGGAAACCCAAATGGGGCAGTTCTACTCTGTCTGACAGGTTCGCTATGAGCCGGAATTGACTTGATGGGAGATCGAGAGAGAGACTTCCTGACTTAACGATATGGTTTCCACTCTTCACTAATTACATGGTGTCCAGACCTTTCACTATTGGCCCCTCTCCTCCGGATTCACTCACAGATGTCTACGAGTCTCTTGATTTGTGGTCCCCCAAAGTGAGCATGCTAATCTAGGAGTGGTCTGTGGTTGCTCGGTGCCATCGAGTCAGTTCTGACCCGTGCAACGGCAGGAAACCCCAATCAGACAAGAGCCTTCGTGGATATCCATGCGGTTAGTCAGGGCCGATACCTCCGCAGGACAGCCTTCTACTTCTTCGCAGTCTGCTCTTAGTCTGGAAGCTCCACTGAAACCCCTCCTCCATGAGTGAACCTCCTAGTGGTATGTATAGCTTCCAAGATTTCCATTGAAATGCAAGTGGCACAGCTTCCAAGTCTGGTGAGTGTCAAACACGAAGGGGCATTACCTCCAACATCAAGATAATCTCCTTCTAAGACCCACTCTAAGACTGCATTTTCTTTCAGCAATTTTGTCATCCTGTTGGGCTTAAATAGGAGCCCTCGTTGCATAATGGTTATATGTTGGGCTGCCAGCCTCAAGGTCAGCGGTTCCAAACCAACTTGCTCCTTGGGAGAAAGACGGGGCTTTCTAGTCCCGTAAAGAGTTACAGTCTCAGAGACCTACGAAGCAGTTCTACCCTGTCCTAGAGGGTTGCCGGGAATCTGCATCAACTCGATGGCAGTGAGGTTTGCTTTGGGTTTCACTGGGCTTATTTACATAAGGGAGTGGAATTATATAAGGGAATTAAAACTTTATATATGTACATATCAATTCGTTTGAAGGCAGCAGTCCCGGAAATTAAGTTCTTAAAGCTTGAGGGTAAAACAGTGTTTCTGCTAGAGCTTACTCTGTGCATTTTTGGCTCGTTATTTCCAGGCTGTTACAATATTCTGAATTTTGATTCAGTCATGCAACATTTTGTTCCCTCCAGCTTTGTGCCATGAATACATTTTAAAAGAACTGTGACTATCTCTGTAAAGTTACTTCCAATATTTTGTCTTTTTTGGGTGGGTTCTAGTTTTATTAATGCTTATGGGTAAATATTAATTGGTATCTCAGATTAAGCTTTCTATCTAAACATATTGTCCTTGAGTTAACTGAACAAGTATCTATTAAAAAAAAACAACCAAACCTCACTGCAATTAAGTCAGTTCTGACCTTACAGAGCAGAGTAGAACGATCTTGTGGATTTCCCAGGCTGTGAGCCTTTACAGGGGTACACTTCTTTCTCCTGCTGACTGGTCACTCCATTAGCAGCACAACTCGAAACCACCAACTATGGGATCAGGCGTCCTTTAAGTATCAGACAGAGCAGTGGTTCTCAACCTTCCTACTGCCGCGACCCTTTCATACCGTTCCTCATGTCGTGGTGACCCCAACCCATAACATTATTTTCATAACTGTCATTTTGCTACTGTGATGAATTGGGCAACCCCTGTGAAAGGGTTATTTGACCCCCAACGGGGTCGCGACCCACAGGTTCAGAACCCCTGATAATAGTGGTTAATAAGATAGAATTTGAGTCTGTATTGTAGGAGAAAACAGCTTACACATCACAGCCTTTATGATACAGTGTACTAACCAGGAGGTCAGCAATTCGAACCCAGCAGCCACCCCTGGGGAGAAGGATGAGGCTTTCTGCTGCCATAAAGGTAGCAGTCTCGGAAACCCACAGGGACAGTTCCACTCTATCCAAAGGGTCGCTATGAGTAAGAATCAACTCAGTGGCAGTAACTTTTGCTTAAATGCATCACATATAAAGGACAGGTCATCCTATCTGTTTTTAATCCCTGGAAATCAAGAGAAAACATGAAAAGCCAGATAGAAAGATAAAGAGGCATAAACATAAGTGTCCACAGGAAAAGACACATGAATGGTACTTAAACATGGGAAAAGGTGTTTGCTTTCACCCCAAATAAGAGAAGACACACGCTGGCTACTATGAGATACCGTTTCTGTCAGTCAGACCAGCAAACATTTTCAAGCTTAGAAAAACACGTGATTGGAGAAGTTTTGGGGAAACAGGCACTCTCCCACCTTCCGCAGGGCTTTTATTCACCCAAGTACGAGCGATAAAAGATATTCTTGATTGGAAATATATGAGAAATGACAATGCACGTGCATATAATATACATCCATTCCTACTTACATTCTGGAACAACTTATGTAAAAGCTAAGATCAGTTCCACTCCTGTTACTTGAGCCCCGAGCAACCACACGCCCTGCACTGGAGTTGGCACGCCATGGAGAAGGATGCTTGACCATTCTCTGACATTAAAGAAACACACAATTCCTCAGCTGGAAAAAGCACATCCAGCGCTGAGGTCAACCAGAAGCAATCACTAGGGCACATCATAATGAAAGTGATGAAGGCCAAAGAGAACATCTTAAGGAGGAAGCCAACGCAAGTCTGCCTCTGAAGCAGTAAGAGACAGGCAGCGGCTCTTTGGAGGCCACAAAGAGAGGGCAGGAAACAGTGGAATGACATAGTCTATGAAGGAAAAAAACGTTGCCTGATAGTTCAGGAGCATTCAGGACATGAGGGAACGATACTTTTGGTCCTCATAAAGCCTGAATGTTTCTAGTGATGCCTCCCTAAATGAATGCTTAAGAACACTCGATCGTGAAGAAAGAAGCCGAGTCCAGAGATACGGGCGAAGGGTGCGAGAATGAACCGAAAGGAAACCGGAACAGATATGGATCCAACTCGTTAAGAACTCCACAGAATAAAATGTGAGTTCAAAAAGCGAAGCATCAGCAACAATGACAGAAACAGCCAAGCTGGGGGATTCAAACACTAAATAAAACTCAACTACTCAGCAAAATGGAAGCTCTGAGAGGTGTGATTCGAATCAGAATGTGCTGTTGGGTAGAATGTGCTCAATCCAGGTTTGTAACTGTAACTTAGGTTAGTTTCCCCAGCACCTGCACAAGGGCTTGGCACCCAGTAAGGTCCTCAGCAATTCTTTGCTGACGAACAACGTTCAGAGCCTTGTCATGATGAAGTCAAATAGGACTGTTAGCCCTATAAAAACCACCTCCAACATACCAGGAGGGTAGAGGGAAGGTGGGGTGGAGAGGGGGAACCGATTACAAGGATCTACATATAACCTCCTCCCTGGGGGATGGACAACAGAAAAGTGGGTGAAGGGAGACGTCGGACAGGGCAGGATATGACAAAATAATAATTTATAAATTAACAAGGGCTCACAAGGGAGGGGGGAGCGGGGAGGGAGGGCAAAAAATGAGGAGCTGATGCCGGGGGCTTAAGTGGAGAACAAATGTTTTGAGAATGATGAGAGGAATGAATGCACAAACGTGCTTTAAACAACTGATGTATGGATGGATTGTGATAAGAGTTGTATGAGCCCCTAATAAAATGATTAAAAAAATTAGAAGAAAGAAAAAAAAAACCACCGCCATCGAGTTGATGCCGACTCATCGTGACTCTATAGGAGAGGGTAGAACTGCC